GCAGCTTCCTCCTCCTCCTCCTCCTCCTCTTTGTCTCTCGCTGTCTCCTCATCTCTTCTTCTTTTACCCTCCTCTTCCTCTTACCCACAGTTCTCCTCTTCCTCTGTCAGCTCCGCTCTCGTCTGAAGGGTTAACAGCTGCTGCTGACAGAGCTCCGACTGATGGAGCTTCGCTGACACCCAGTGGTCAACTGGGAGAACTGCAACACAACTTCATTGATACAAACAACACAAACAAACAACACAAACAAAAAAATACATAAATAAAATATATATAAGGCTGAAAATTAATACAATAAAAACAATAAATTGTAAAACAGTGAAAACAACAAGGAATAAAATAAATATAAAATATATAAATATATATATAACTTAATAATATATCGAATATGAATACATAATACAATAAATATAAAAATATATATATATAATATATCTAATATGAATAAATAATAAAATAAATATAGCTCTCTATATATTGTGAATAAAAATAAAAATAAACACCAGGAAGACAAAGATAAATGTGAAGATGTGAACCAGATTCGGCTGTTTGAACAATAAAAAGTGAACTGAAACTGAAACATGAAATAATATATTATATATTTTTTTATCAATTATTATATCAATTATATATACATTAAATTATGAAACACAGATTTTCTTTTGCTTGTAAAACTTTTACTTAACTTTAATTTACTAAAGAGGAAAAGTTAATTATCATTATTAGTTTATTTCAAAACTTAAAGATTGAAGTTTTCCTAAAGAATAAAAGAACTATAGATTATTATTAGGTCAGTAAAACTTTTTTTTAAGTTTATTTCATAAGATAAAAATTGAGTTTGACTTCTAACTTTTTAAAAGTTAAAATGATCAGTTTTCTCTGTTTTTACAGTGTGTCTGATTTACACTGTAATTCCAAGGCAACTTAAAATAATAATATAATTCATATAATGATAAGATATTTAATTTTATATTTTCATTTAATTTAAAAAATTTGAAGAAAGAATTGTGTTAAACAGCTCATTGTGTTTTTAAAATGTAAAATATATTTTTGGAAAAAAGAAAAGATCAGAGGTCAAATCTTTTTAAAATAATAATAATAATTTATTGAAATCAGTTTTACATTGTGGGAAAACTTAACTTCAAACAGTCGCTCTTCATCTGCTCGTCATCACATCTTTCTTTACGTCTGTCGTGTCAAACTAAAGTAATGAGTTTGTTTCGAGAGTGTAAAGAGAAGAAAGTTCAGATGTTGGTTTTAAAAGTAAAAAGTTGTCAGAAAAGTAAAATTACTTGAATAGATTACTTAAGTACAGTAAAGTATTTGTACTTTATTACTTTCGACCTGCTGGTTTCAACCTCCAGCAGTCGGCGTCCAACCACAGATTCATCGATATCACAGTAAAATGTCTCCCAGTGAGTCTCATTCAGTATTTCCTGTTTTATTTTGTACTCTCCTCTCCTTGCAGATCACTTCCTGTCCTCCTGTCTATTTTCCCGCTGTCCCGCCACCCTCCCCTAGAGATCTTTGTACCTGTGTGTCAAACGTTCCAGTGTCTGTCGTCTTTAACTCTCTTCGGATTACGTGCTGGTTTTTTGTGTCGTCTGGATTTGTGTGTTTGTGCTGACTGAACTTTATTTTGGCGAGTAAAAGAGGTTTGAGTTGGTGCAACCTGAAAATGTGGAGAAGAGACGCAGCATCAGATCAGAGCCTCTCTGACTGCACGGCGTCTGTGTCCCACATATCGAGACGAGGTCCCACATTATGATCCCATCTAGTTAGTATCTGTGGACGGAGAAACTCTGAGACGTCCTAAAGGAAACGTTTGTTCTCTCTAATCTAAAACTGTTTTATATTTATTGTTCTAATAATAATGCAGTCGAATCTCTCCTTTAAATACGTCACATTCTGACATCTACAGCATAAAACAGTGTAGTTTCATTTCATTCATCATGTACACATACATATAAAACACAGTGAGACATCACTAAGAACAACGTCTCAGACATAAAACAAGAGATTAAAACTGAATATAAGACAGATCATATTTACTATCTGAACCTTTATCTCAAACACAAAGTGTCCCATTCACCTCAATGCTGTTATAATAACATGTTATAATTGTGTATATGAGATCAGTGGTTCCCAACCTGAGGGTCGGGACCCCCATTAGGGGTCGGTGAAGCTTCACCACGAATTCATTGTTGATTTTAGGGCTGTAAGAAATGTAAAATATATATATATATCTCAGCAATTAAACACTGACTTTGTCAAAAAAGAAACCTATTAATAATGTTTGATTGTTAGAAATGATTAAAAATAAGAATACAGACAGAATTGTATAAAAATATCAGTAAAACTCGTCTCTGATCGATATTAACAGAAATAATCTGCTCACAATTGATCCAAAACTTCCTGCAGTCATTTAAAAAATGTCTGAAGATTTTACATTAAAAAAAAACTGTAATTAGCTTAAATACAGTTTGTTTAACAGTAAAACAAATATGTTAAATCTCACATCAGATTCTTTTATATGGTAAAATATGGAATAAAATCAATACTAATATTCTTTTACTGTAACAAACTGTATAACAAACTCACTGTAAAGGAAATAAGCTTATTTTTTACAGTTCATTACAATAAAAGTATAAATACTGTAATACTATGAAAATACCACATAAATGTTGTATTAAAATAGGTTTTACTGTTACACAAACTTTATTTAACCTGTTTACAGTTTACAGAGTTTAACTGTCGTTGTTTTACAGTTTTACACCAAATAATTTAAATAACTGCAGAAAGTTTGAGTTAAAAACGAGCGATTTGGATGAATTGTGAGTCGATTATTTCCTGTGGATATTGATCAGATGATGAGTTTTACTGTTATTGTTATTATTATTATTTATGCACTGACTATAATATGAAATATGAATCAAATACAGTCGGTTTTCTCAGTGATAGCGAAGGAGAAAGGTTGCGTTACATTTCCATTAAATCCTCTCTGCTTTGAATAAAACATATTTACACAATCATCCATTGAACTGTGTATACAGTTTGACTCTGATGGAGATTTCTTCTTCCTGAAGCTCCTTTTGCTCCTAAAACCTGCCCTCAGACGTCACACGGAGAGGTAAAGTATCATCTGAGGCTCTTTAAAGATCCAACTCCAGAGGAAAATATGTAAAAATGTAAATCAGCCGCCGTCTATTGTGACTTTCTGTGAGAGTTTCCGTGCTCGCTGACGGCCGCGGACTGAAAGATGAAGCTGCAGTTATGAACGGAGGTCGGTGCTCAACAAAGTGGCACAATTTAATTTGTGCTGCAGGAACTGCACGGCTGCGATAGACTCAGTAATGAAACCTCTCAGCTTTAAGTTCTGTCTGCTTTATATTCACAAAGAGAAACGAGCGGAGCAGCCATTGTGGAGACATGCAAATACACTGATCTCTTTAATACGGCCTTCACCCAATTGGACGCCGACTTTGACAAGCAGAACAAATGCCCTGCGAGCGCAAACATGTGCAGGTCAGGAGGAGCGGCGCTGATGGCCGAGGCAGAATTCAACTTTTCTTTATCCTCTTTTCAACGCCGGCAGTCACATTCTGCCTGTTCGCTTACTGTTAAATTACTCATCTGAGATTAGAGACGGCTTAAGGAAGAAAAGTTTCCCCTCAAAAGTTGATAAAGCTCTGTGACTTTATGTATACTGAACATATGCAAAAACAAAACGTGGAAGTTTGTTGGAAAGTGTCAGAAGTTTCACTTTTCACACAAACTGTATCTTTGTTATTTCATTTTAAGGTTATACAATATATATCTATATGTATATATGTAATGTGTCAGCACCACTGGACTCTACCAGAGACTCATTCTAACTTACAGATCATAAAACAAACTTCAAAGTGGACTGAAACAGAATAAACCTCAATAAACCGTCTGTGTGAGTGTTTCCATCTCTTCCAGCAGTCTCTGATCAGTGTATGTGTGTATAGAGAACTACGGTGGCCCTGAGGTGCAAATCACAACGGCAAATCAGAGAACACATAGATATGGACTATTGGAAGCCCTGTTTCTACCTCTCTTAGGTATCCCACATTAACATGGACGTATTAATACAATATTTTCCTTATTTAGTGGTTTGAATTTTCAGATTTGGCAACTTGAACGCATAGGTCTGGCGGTGTTGTGTTTCCGGTTCAAAGGACGGACCAGTTCTTTTGTCCAATCAGCGACGACTCATGTCGCCCGAGGGTACCTACCTTTTCCGGTTTGGTTAATGTCGTTGTGTTTTCTGATTTGCCGTTGTGATTTGCACCTCAGGGCCACCGTAGAGAACAGCTGTCTGCTGATATATTCATGTTCATTATCTCATTTTAAGTTCCTGTTGAGTGTTCATTCATTGATTTCATCATTTTGAACACATACTGGTCTTTCTGAGGGGGAGATGTTCCTTATGGAAACTAATCTCACTCTGTGTTAGGAACTGCAGTCAGAGCATGGTTAGCCTAGCTTAGCATAAAGACTGTGCACAGAGGGAACCAGCTAGCCTAGCTCCGTCCAAAGTTAAAAACAAACCTACCGTCTCTCTTAAAGGCCGTCCACACCAACCATCACTACATCAATAACTAGAGATTAGATCTTTCTGTTCTAATCCCACCACAACTACATTTCAGGAGCAATTTGATGAACAATATTTATGTTTATAACTTATTAAACTCTTCTATAACATATATATATATATATAATATTCAGCTGACACATAGAAACATTAGCACACAGCTATGAAAGTAGATGAAGAAGAAATTAAATGACAAACTATGAACCTCTTTAATATTCTTTAATATTCTTTAATATTCAGGATTAGATTGTAAATCATAGTTTGTATATTTATTTATTATTATTATTTGTTTGTACTTTATATTTAAAAGAGAGTAAACTGCAGTGCCCACTGCGGGCCGGTAGGTGGCGGTCACGACCTTTAAAGCTGCTTTACGATCCGACATTACAACCAGAGAAGAAGAAGAGGAAGATGTCGGTGGGTTTGTTGTCGGTTGTTTTCTTTCTGAACGTTTCCTGTAACTTCGTCTCCTCGTTGTTTGTCAACATCAGAGACACCGAGAGCCAATGTTTCATCCAGGAAGTCCCGGAGGACACGGTGATTATCGGTGAGTTTATACCGGCAGCACTTCCGGTGGCTAACGGTTAGCTGCTAGCTGTTAGCTGCTAACTGCTAACAACAACAACAAGCTACTTCCTCTTAAAGTTTAAACAGTTTATTTATTAAAGAATAAATAATATATATTAAAGAGTCACTGTCAGTCTGTTTTAATGCAGTTACACTGTAAGTTAATCTCTTAATAAACTGTTTTAGGAGTTTATGTCACAAAGTTGATAAAATGATAATAAATTAAATATTTACAAACGATTCACTAAAAGATTTAAAATCTAAATGTGTTATTGATATTAATAATACTTAAATAACGAAGTAAGAATGAATAAATGTGTCTTATATTAAAATATATAACCATAATATATAGAAACAGACAGAATAAGAGAGTGATGGTTGAATGATAGAACAGTATAATATATAGAAACAGACAGAATAAGAGAGAGATGGTTGATAGAACAGTATAATATATAGAAACAGACAGAATAAGAGAGAGATGGTTGAATGATAGAACAGTATAATATATAGAAACAGACAGAATAAGAGAGAGATGGTTGATAGAACAGTATAATATATAGAAACAGACAGAATAAGAGAGAGATGGTTGATAGAACAGTATAATATATAGAAACAGACAGAATAAGAGAGAGATGGTTGAATGATAGAACAGTATAATATATAGAAACAGACAGAATAAGAGAGTGATGGTTGAATGATAGAACAGTATAATATATAGAAACAGACAGAATAAGAGAGTGATGGTTGAATGATAGAACAGTATAATATATAGAAACAGACAGAATAAGAGAGAGATGGTTGAATGATAGAACAGTATAATATATAGAAACAGACAGAATAAGAGAGTGATGGTTGATAGAACAGTATAATATATAGAAACAGACAGAATAAGAGAGAGATGGTTGAATGATAGATAGAACAGTATAATATATAGAAACAGACAGAATAAGAGAGAGATGGTTGATAGAACAGTATAATATATAGAAACAGACAGAATAAGAGAGTGATGGTTGAATGATAGAACAGTATAATATATAGAAACAGACAGAATAAGAGAGAGATGGTTGATAGAACAGTATAATATATAGAAACAGACAGAATAAGAGAGTGATGGTTGATAGAACAGTATAATATATAGAAACAGACAGAATAAGAGAGAGATGGTTGAATGATAGAACAGTATAATATATAGAAACAGACAGAATAAGAGAGAGATGGTTGATAGAACAGTATAATATATAGAAACAGACAGAATAAGAGAGTGATGGTTGAATGATAGAACAGTATAATATATAGAAACAGACAGAATAAGAGAGAGATGGTTGAATATAGAACAGTATAATATATAGAAACAGACAGAATAAGAGAGAGATGGTTGATAGAACAGTATAATATATAGAAACAGACAGAATAAGAGAGTGATGGTTGAATGATAGAACAGTATAATATATAGAAACAGACAGAATAAGAGAGAGATGGTTGAATGATAGAACAGTATAATATATAGAAACAGACAGAATAAGAGAGAGATGGTTGATAGAACAGTATAATATATAGAAACAGACAGAATAAGAGAGAGATGGTTGATAGAACAGTATAATATATAGAAACAGACAGAATAAGAGAGAGATGGTTGAAGATAGAACAGTATAATATATAGAAACAGACAGAATAAGAGAGAGATGGTTGAATATAGAACAGTATAATATATAGAAACAGACAGAATAAGAGAGAGATGGTTGATAGAACAGTATAATATATAGAAACAGACAGAATAAGAGAGAGATGGTTGAAATAGAACAGTATAATATATAGAAACAGACAGAATAAGAGAGAGATGGTTGAATGATAGAACAGTATAATATATAGAAACAGACAGAATAAGAGAGAGATGGTTGAATATAGAACAGTATAATATATAGAAACAGACAGAATAAGAGAGAGATGGTTGAATGATAGAACAGTATAATATATAGAAACAGACAGAATAAGAGAGAGATGGTTGATAGATAGAACAGTATAATATATAGAAACAGACAGAATAAGAGAGAGATGGTTGAATGATAGAACAGTATAATATATAGAAACAGACAGAATAAGAGAGAGATGGTTGATAGAACAGTATAATATATAGAAACAGACATAAGAGAGAGATGGTTGAATGATAGAACAATAAGAAGGTGGAATAAAAGATAGAACAGTATAATATATAGAAACAGACAGAATAAGAGAGAGATGGTTGAATGATAGAACAGTATAATATATAGAAACAGACAGAATAAGAGAGAGATGGTTGAATGATAGAACAGTATAATATATAGAAACAGACAGAATAAAGAGAGGATGGTTGATAGAACAGTATAATATATAGAAACAGACAGAATAAGAGAGAGATGGTTGAATGATAGAACAGTATAATATATAGAAACAGACAGAATAAGAGAGAGATGGTTGAATGATAGAACAGTATAATATATAGAAACAGACAGAATAAGAGAGAGATGGTTGAATGATAGAACAGTATAATATATAGAAACAGACAGAATAAGAGAGAGATGGTTGAATGATAGAACAGTATAATATATAGAAACAGACAGAATAAGAGAGATGGTGAACAGTATAATATATAGAAACAGACAGAATAAGAGAGAGATGGTTGAATGATAGAACAGTATAATATATAGAAACAGACAGAATAAGAGAGAGATGGTTGAATGATAGAACAGTATAATATATAGAAACAGACAGAATAAGAGAGAGATGGTAGATAAATATAAAAACAGTATAATATATAGAAACAGACAGAATAAGAGAGAGATGGTTGAATGATAGAACAGTATAATATATAGAAACAGACAGAATAAGAGAGAGATGGTTGAATGATAGAACAGTATAATATATAGAAACAGACAGAATAAGAGAGAGATGGTTGATAGAACAGTATAATATATAGAAACAGACAGAATAAGAGAGAGAGATGGTTGAATGATAGAACAGTATAATATATAGAAACAGACAGAATAAGAGAGTGATGGTTGAATGATAGAACAGTATAATATATAGAAACAGACAGAATAAGAGAGAGATGGTTGAATGATAGAACAGTATAATATATAGAAACAGACAGAATAAGAGAGAGATGGTTGATAGAACAGTATAATATATAGAAACAGACAGAATAAGAGAGAGATGGTTGAATGATAGAACAGTATAATATATAGAAACAGACAGAATAAGAGAGAGATGGTTGATAGAACAGTATAATATATAGAAACAGACAGAATAAGAGAGTGATGGTTGAATGATAGAACAGTATAATATATAGAAACAGACAGAATAAGAGAGAGATGGTTGAATGATAGAACAGTATAATATATAGAAACAGACAGAATAAGAGAGAGATGGTTGAATGATAGAACAGTATAATATATAGAAACAGACAGAATAAGAGAGAGATGGTTGAATGATAGAACAGTATAATATATAGAAACAGACAGAATAAGAGAGAGATGGTTGAATGATAGAACAGTATAATATATAGAAACAGACAGAATAAGAGAGAGATGGTTGAATGATAGAACAGTATAATATATAGAAACAGACAGAATAAGAGAGAGATGGTTGAATGATAGAACAGTATAATATATAGAAACAGACAGAATAAGAGAGAGATGGTTGATAGAACAGTATAATATATAGAAACAGACAGAATAAGAGAGAGATGGTTGAAATAGAACAGTATAATATATAGAAACAGACAGAATAAGAGAGAGATGGTTGAATGATAGAACAGTATAATATATAGAAACAGACAGAATAAGAGAGAGATGGTTGATAGAACAGTATAATATATAGAAACAGACAGAATAAGAGAGAGATGGTTGAATGATAGAACAGTATAATATATAGAAACAGACAGAATAAGAGAGATGATGGTTGAATGATAGAACAGTATAATATATAGAAACAGACAGAATAAGAGAGAGATGGTTGAATGATAGAACAGTATAATATATAGAAACAGACAGAATAAGAGAGAGATGGTTGAATGATAGAACAGTATAATATATAGAAACAGACAGAATAAGAGAGTGATGGTTGAATAGAACAGTATAATATATAGAAACAGACAGAATAAGAGAGTGATGGTTGAATGATAGAACAGTATAATATATAGAAACAGACAGAATAAGAGAGAGATGGTTGAATGATAGAACAGTATAATATATAGAAACAGACAGAATAAGAGAGAGATGGTTGATAGAACAGTATAATATATAGAAACAGACAGAATAAGAGAGAGATGGTTGAATGATAGAACAGTATAATATATAGAAACAGACAGAATAAGAGAGAGATGGTTGAATGATAGAACAGTATAATATATAGAAACAGACAGAATAAGAGAGAGATGGTTGATAGAACAGTATAATATATAGAAACAGACAGAATAAGAGAGAGATGGTTGATAGAACAGTATAATATATAGAAACAGACAGAATAAGAGAGAGATGGTTGATAGAACAGTATAATATATAGAAACAGACAGAATAAGAGAGTGATGGTTGAATGATAGAACAGTATAATATATAGAAACAGACAGAATAAGAGAGAGATGGTTGAATGATAGAACAGTATAATATATAGAAACAGACAGAATAAGAGAGAGATGGTTGAATGATAGAACAGTATAATATATAGAAACAGACAGAATAAGAGAGAGATGGTTGAATGATAGAACAGTATAATATATAGAAACAGACAGAATAAGAGAGAGATGGTTGAATGATAGAACAGTATAATATATAGAAACAGACAGAATAAGAGAGAGATGGTTGATAGAACAGTATAATATATAGAAACAGACAGAATAAGAGAGAGATGGTTGAATGATAGAACAGTATAATATATAGAAACAGACAGAATAAGAGAGAGATGGTTGAATGATAGAACAGTATAATATATAGAAACAGACAGAATAAGAGAGTGATGGTTGAATGATAGAACAGTATAATATATAGAAACAGACAGAATAAGAGAGAGATGGTTGAATGATAGAACAGTATAATATATAGAAGCTATCAGAGCTGCAGTGTGAATATTGATCTCAGGGGAAACTTCATTTTAACCCTTTAAGAGTTTTATTGTTCCCCTGTTGAACAGTTTATGATGATATTTCCTTTCACTTTGAAATATAACGAATTATTTTCACTGATATTATTCAGTGTTTGACTTCCTGTTCTCCTCTCGCTCTCTGCAGGTAACTTTCGGCTGACGGATAAACCGGCCAATCAGAGCGTCGGGATATTGGTCGAAGCCAAAGATCCTGATGACAGGGTTGGTTGAAATGAGTTCTTAGAGAACTGTTGTTAAGTCCTGGAAAACCTGACAGACAGTCAGTGAGTGTGTCTGTGTCCAACTCTTCCTCACAGGTTAGTTAATGACAGACAGTCAGTGAGTGTGTCTGTGTCCAACTCTTCCTCACAGGTTAGTTAATGACAGACAGTCAGTGAGTGTGTCTGTGTCCAACTCTTCCTCACAGGTTAGTTAATGACAGACAGTCAGTGAGTGTGTGTGTGTCCAACTCTTCCTCACAGGTTAGTTAATGACAGACAGTCAGTGAGTGTGTGTGTGTCCAACTCTTCCTCACAGGTTAGTTAATGATGTTACTGAGTCAATGTGAGCAGATTGTGTCTGTAGATTGAAGAGAATCAGAGTCTCACTGATGGTGGAAATAAAGGTTTTACTTCCTTAAAACAGCCGTTTTTTGAATGGAGTTTGGTGTGACAGTGTGGAGCAGAGGGGATTTGAACCTTAATAATTCCCATAAACTGAGCTGACCTACCTTCTAATAATGAACCTTGGGAACAGCAGACAGTAACAGGAAGTGGAAATAAAGCCTCCTGTTTTCTTCTTCTGGTAAAAGGTGGAAACTTTTTAAGAACTATTGTTAAATACAGTTTGTGTCTCCTGAGCAACCACCTGTCTCTCTTCCCTCCAGCTGGTTCTGTCTCGGCGATACGGCGCCGAGGGAAGCTTCAAATTCACATCATGTAACCCAGGCAGATACCAAATCTGCCTGCAGTCAATCTCCTCACAGCGCCCCCTGTCTGCCGGAGGCCTGTTGGTGAGGAGACACACTTCCTTTGGATCCTTCCTGCAGTCTCTTTAATTGACTTAAAGATGAATCTCCTTCCTGAACTTCCCGATGTGTCTCTGCAGGCGGTTCACCTCCACATCCGAGCCGGCGAACGCACAAACAACTACACCGAGATCGCCGCCAAATACAGACTGACCGAGCTGGAGCTGAGAGTCCAACAGCTGAGGGAGCAGGTCGAACAGATCCTGTTAGAGCTTAACTACCAGAGGGTCAGTGTGTGTGTGTGTGTGTGTGAAGGCTTACTTACTGGGTTTGTTCTGGAGCTTTCAGCAGCATCTCAGTCACAAATAACCGCTAACAGTCTTTTTATCTCTTTTAGGTTCATTTTATATGAAAACAATTCTTCAGCAAATATTTTCCAACATAAAAAACATTTAAAACAATATTTATGACCATTAACAGATATTCTATAATATTAATCTGACGCTGTTTATTTCCATCTAATTAAACCATTCCAGTCTGTTTAGTGCCGCACTGGTTACACTGGTATATGTGAATTATTGGCTGCATCCCATTCAGCTTAAATTAAATATTTCCTCCATAAAATCTGATCCAGTTTCACCAAAATCACTGAATAAAGTTATAAAGTTGTGCTAAATAATCACTGATGTAAATCAACTAATTAGTATATTTACTGAATTACTTTCAGATGTTAGTCTAGGTAGCTTGTTACCTAGCATTTAGCTACAGAGCTAATTAGTAAGCTAATTTAAATCCATCGTTAGTTAGGTAGCGTTTTGTTAACATTAGCACGGAGGAACAATAAAATAACATCTGATCTTTTATATGTAGATAAAAACACTGAAACACTGATTGTGACTTAAAATCCAGAAATATTTATTATAATATAAAAGTGTTAAACAGTTCAGAAACATCAGTAAATGAAAACGTGATGATCAATAATGTGACTGAATAGAAAGAATAGTCTGTAGATTGTTAATGTTTATTACACAGAGAACAGAGCAGACACCAGATGTTTCATATTAATAGAATATATATGTAATAGAATATTTATTCACAGTTTGAGACAAATATTTCAGCGTTTTCTCTCCTGAAACGGGAACGTGACCACGAGCTGCGGACGAGCAGCCGCTGTCGGAGTTCTGACGTTCTGTTTGCGTTCACAGCTCAGAGAGGAACGTTTCCGTGAGGTCG